GCGTAGACAGCTCGCCAGCCCGAACCTGCTCCTCCACTCGGGCTGCTGCTCTCACGTCAGTGATGGCGGAAACGAGGGGCCCAGATTTGGATCCTGGTTCCAGTTTTGGTGACTGGACTCTTACTAAAGCTCTGTACCTTTTCTAGGCTTCCTCTTTTTTGAAATGGGCCTAATAATATTTCAAAGTCACGTTGTAGATCCTTAGGCTAATTGAGACAGAGATCAGGCACCTGCCCAGTGCTCAGCGGGGCGGGACTTGTTTCACAGCTCTTTCTGTCCCAAATGTGGACTTGGAATCTGAAAGTGAGTTCGCTGAAAGTGATCTTATGGCACTGTGTGGGCACCATCCATCCTTGGCCATGAGGCAGGCCTTGACCCAGCGACAGTGACTGAGCATTGCTTGACCCTCCTGAAGGGCTCCAGATGGATTGCTCCGTGTGCTCAGGGTTGTGCTCAGGTCAGAGGCTCAGCTGCCTGTGCATCATTTCAAAGGGGAAGGTTGTGACTGGCTCGTCTCTGGCTCTCCTCTGCCATGGCAACTGTGTGTATGGAACCTTTGTGGTAAATTTTCTTTTTAAAAAAGATTTATTTATTTTTATTGCAAAGTCATATATATAGAGAGAGGAGGAGAGACAGAGAGGAAGATCTTCTGTCCGATGATTCACTTCCCAAGTGACCGCAATGACCGGAGCTGCGCCGATCAGCAGCTCTTCCAGGTCTCCCATGGGTGCAGGGTCCCAAGGCTTTGGGCTGTCCTTGACTGCTTTCCCAGGCCACAAGCAGGGAGCTGGATGGGAAGTGGAACTGCCGGGATTAGAACCGGTGCCCATATGGGATCCTGGTGTATTCAAGGCTAGGACTTTAGCAGCTAGGCCACGCCGCCAGGCCCCATAAATTTTCTTGTAATATCCAAAATGTTGTCACATTTGGAGAAAGTTCTGTATGTCTCTGAAATTAATTTGATTAGAAACCAAGGTTAGACAGCCTATGAAGGGACTTGTGCTAAGTCACATTTCCATCTGAGTTCCTGGATTTAGATTACACTCAGGGTGAAGATGAGGAAGCAATGTGCTTTGCAGAAGGTGCGCACATGTGATGGGGAGGGCATGGTACTTCAGCCGACCGTGGCTGCCGTCATCCCAACTTCAGTTTTCGCTCCAAAGACTAACTGCTCTCACAGCAACGTGCTTTGTTTGCTGTGGATTATCCTACATCAGTGCAAGGAAGTGGGAGGTTCAGCTAAGTAAAGGGAAAAGCATTCCAGATTACCTTACTTCTTAGAGAAAAGGATTGTTGACAGTTCTGCCTATTTACTTTCAGATTGTGTTTCTTTTTAATATTCCTGTGTGTGAAGCAAAATGATATCATTCCCATCCTTTCTATAAATAGCTTTGTGAGTCATCCATACATTACGAACATCTTTAATGTCTTAAACGTGTTTCACATCTGGCTATCTTTTTCTCCTAATTGTAGAAAGAAAATTCTCGAGTGATAGCGAAGAATGTTGCAGAAGATACAAGGCCTCCCGGGCAGCAGTGTGGGTGGCTGGCGCACACGGCAGTACTTGCCAGCGTCTTGCTCGGTGCTGCCTGGACAGGCTATCATTTACTGGGCTGGCCCTGTGTTGTTTCCGTTCAGACATGGATCAGGACTGGGGTAAACCCCACTTCTGTGAACATCTTGGTCCACACATCTAGGTGTAATTACCCAGTGATCTCATCAGAATAAATCCCTGTAAGGAACTGGCTAAAGTATACACATGGGTTAGAGACTTCCTTGGTCAAATTCTGCTAAATTTCATCTGAAAAATGTATGCTGATTTGTTCTCTGATTACAGTATATGTGGAAAGTCTTGTTTCCCACACCCTTTCCTATTTTTTTTTCTTAACTGACTGCTTTTTTTTTTTTTTCTATTTTAGTAGGTAAAAGTAGATTTAATTTGAAATTGTTTTTTTAGTTAAGCCGAGTATTTAAGCAGTTATTTTTGGTCCATTTGAAAGGCAGAGAGAATGAGTCAGAGAGAGGGACCCTCCATCTTCTGGCTCACTCTGAATCAATGCCCGCAGCAGGGCTCGACTGAGCTAGGAGCCTGGACGCCAGTCAGGGACCGAAGAATCTGAGCTGTCGTCCCAAATTCCTCCCGAGACTGCCAACAACTGGCAAGAAGCTCCATCTGAAGCCTAGTGGTTGGGATTCAAACAAGATACTCCCTTACGGGATATGGGCTCCCCAAGGAGTGGTTTAACTGCCATTTTGACTCTGTCTGTCTTCATATATATATGTATTTTTATGAGGTTTTGTGAATGTATATTCCTCTGTGGTTAATTACTTTTTCATCTATATAAAAAATGTTTATCTTTAAAAAAACAAATCAGTATTTTCTCCATATGGGTCAGTCTGACTTAGGAGATTCCTTCAGCCCTTTGAAGCAGAGTGAACTGTGCAGAAATGAACTGGCTTGGCTGGAATGCTGGACCTGGCACGCCTTGCTTTCTGCAAAGTTTAGGTCGACCTGAGCATCAGGAAGTCCCCACACAGGCTGCTGCTCTGAGGCAGGTGGAGGGGCCTAGGCTGCTGACGTCCATCTGTGTTGGGCCGTGCTCTCTAACCTTGGTCAGTATGTGGATGGGAAGCAAGCCCTGCAGCCACAGGTGGCTTGCTAACCCAGAGCCCAGGAGCAGTTTCTACTGGAAGCATCCCCCTAACCCCTGTGACAGGGCATCCCCTACGGGCACCAGTTCGGATCCTGGCTGTGCCACTTCTGATCCAGCTCCCTGCTAGTGTGCCTGGGAAAGCAGCAAAAGATGGCCCAAGTCTTTGGACTCTGCACGCATGTGGGAGATCCAGAAGAAGCTCCAGGCTCCTGGCTTTAGACCTGCCCAGCAGTTCTGGCCGTTGCAGCTGTTTGGAGGGTTGACCCAGTGGGTGGAATATCTCACACTCTGTAAATCTGTCTTTCAAATTAAAAACTAAATGTTTAAAAATATATATACTGGGTGTGGGGAAGTAATGCCTATATAAGAAAAAGTAGGGACTCTCGGTGGGCAGTGTTCCAGGACTATGTAGTTCATTTTCTTTCTTTTTTTTTTTTTTTTTTTTGCTATGCTGACAAACATGACAAAAATAGCCTGTAAACATTCTGTTTTATTTTTAAATTGAGAGGGAGACAGAGAAAGTGTAGGAGCTCTAGTCTGCTGATTAATTCACCAAATGCCTGCAGTAGCTAGGGCGGGGCCAGGTTGAAGCCAGAAACCAGTTCAATCTAGGTGTCCCGTGTGAATGGCAGGGCCCCAGCTCCCTCCTAGCATGTGCCTTAGCAGGGAGCTGGAGTCTGATGCTGGACATTGAATCTAGGCAGTCCGATATGAGCTGCAGGCTTCTTCAGCATTAAGCCAAATGCCCATTGCTAACCACTTACTAACTAAATCCCTTGGAGATACTAACACAGTAGTGAAATACTCTTTGGTGTTTGTGTGTGCCTGTGACACAGTGGGTGCTCTTCAGCTGCTGATTTTCCTTCATTCATCCCATAGTTGGTTGTTGTTAGCTTACTTTATACCAGGCACTGGCAAGGTGCTGGAGGTAGGCAGTACGTGAAAAGGCCAGCCTGTTTCATGGTGGAGCTATAATGGATGAAGCTGCATGAAGCCACACAAGGAGGAGGTCAGTTGGTGAGACCACATGTTACAGGAGCCCCAGGGCTGTGTGCTGGGCGCTCAGGGAAGAAGAGGTTTTGCCAGTTTTGCTAGAATGGTCAAGAGGGACTGAGGAGCAGAGAAGTCGAGCGACCTGAAGCTGAGGCCATCTTGACTACAACAAAGCAGGTGGAAAGTTTGCCTGTGCTGAAGGAGAGGGAGTAAGGAACCTGCCGCTTAGGATTGCGTGAACTCACTTATAAAGCCTGCAGCATTACAGCCCAAGCTCCCAGAAGAAGAGAGCAGTGGGAGTGCCCAGGAAGGCAGAGGCCACACCGGGCACTCGCTGGCCTGGGGAACCGGTGTGCCCATGGAGGGGCATGCTCACCCTGAGCAGAGTGGGAGCTTGTTCTTCAGGAAAGGTGTGGTGAAGGCAGGTGACTGTGGGTCTGAGAGGAAAGGTCTGTGAGCTGGGAGCCAGGCTGTGTTTGGGTGGTGGTGGTAGATTTTCTGAAACAGAAAGTTGGAGGCTCACTTCTTTGCTCAGCACATCTTCACCAGTTGGTTTTGGAATGCTGTTTCAATTCCTCCTTGGGGGTTCTGTAGTTTAGTTTTGGGAAAATAAATCCTGTATATGTGCACACAAAGCTCAAGTTACACCCCCGTGCTAACTGGATATTGTTCAAATGCAAGGGTGGTAAATCAGGCATGGCAGCATGGGGGAGGGCACAGGGAGGAACTGAGTTTGGGTGACCAAGGACAGCTTCTTGCAGGGATGGGTTTGTCTGACTCCAGAAAGAGGGGCTGGGTTTTGATCTTTGCTTAGGAACTGTTCTGATGTTTCTGATTGTGTCCGTGACACCTTAGTCTTGCAGATGTTAAGAATCATCCAGGTTTGCAAAAGCATCACATCCTGTCCCACCATAGCCAGGCTCAGGACACTGGGCGTAGCACATAGCCTAGTGGACCAAGTCCCTGGACTCTGCTGGCCGAACTCCCACAGGAAGCTTCTGGGATTTGCCTGCTGCCACACTGCAAATGGTTTCCCTTGGGTCACAACCTCAGAGTGTGGTTGTCATCTTTTCAATGTTCACAGCGGCAGAGCATTCAGGGACATTGTACATGTTAACTGTAATTCTGTGTGTGTCAGGGGAAAAGGACACACACTCAGACCACAGGGTCACAGGTGTCACACAGCTTGGCATGTCAGCTCGCACACCATGCTTGGCCTTTCTCCATCTCACGTTTTGTTTCTGTGAAATGCTTTAAAGAGTGTTTGCAGGGATTGAGCATTGCCTTAAAGGCTGAAGATGGAAGCCGTTTTCAGATGCTCATCTTTTAACCCAGCTGTTTTCCCCTCCCAAGGTCTATTACCCAAATCTGGGCTGGATGTGCATCGACGCCACTGACCCGGAGAAAGGGAACTGGCTGCGCTATGTGAACTGGGCTTGCTCAGGAGAAGAGCAGAATCTGTTCCCGCTGGAGATCAACAGAGCCATCTACTATAAGACTTTGAAGGTAATGGAGCAGGGCTGAACTGCGCACCTTGCCCTTGTTGCTGACCTCAGGGACCACTCCACAGATGGAAGGGTGACCTGCGATGAGCTGTATCCACACACCCAAGCTTCTGGGTTTTAAATACACGCTTGCCACTGCTGTGTGTGTGTCGAGACTGTAAGGTGCGAAGGTGGTGCTGGGTAATTACTGTGTCTTGGTAGTTGCTGATGAGCTGAGTGTGTGGCAGCTGCTTCCCTCCGCCTGCATCCGGGGCACGAGAGGTTGCTTGGCAGCAGATTTTTCCCTAGCTGTGACAGTTCTGCGTCAGCTGACAACAGGCCTGGTCGTCAGAGCAAATGTTGCTTTGACTTAGCTTTTCTTTTCTCTCAGTTTTATTCAGGACATGTTTCTTCCTTCAGCGAAGTTTCATGTGGAGGCATTGTGTGTTGAGAAGGAAGAGAGGAAGGTTAGCTTAGGGCTGCTGGTGAGGAGTGCATTCAGGGCCATGGGCTTAGGCACCCTGGAGGGCTGCTGCGTTTCTGCCACAGATAAGACACTCACTGCCCTTGCAGGGGGCACATTTTCTTGGGAGATTAATCTATTTATCATGCATGATAGTATTCTAAGGAATACTTTACAAATTCTTCCCTCTCTCTCTGGTCACTCCCCAAATGCCCATATTGATTGGGCTGGGCTGAGCTGAGCTGATGCTGAAAGCCAGGAGCTCAGCCCAGGTCTCCCGTGTGGCTTCCAGTGATACAGCTACTGGACCTGTCCCTGTCATTAGGAAGCTAAGTCAGGAACCAGAGCTAGGAACTGAACCCAGGTTCCTCTGATGTGGGATGTAGAGTCCTCAGGTGACGTCTTAACCACCTGCTCCAAGGCTGTGTAGATAGATGGCTGTGCTTGCCTTGAATGGATAACTGCTTGCATTGCCTTAAGGCAAATGTCTGTTTATTTACTTATTTCCATTACATAATGCCATCGATTTAGGGATAGTTGTGGAAAAAAATTGTCTCTATGCAGATAAAAATGCTTGATGAGCCAGCATTTAAAGTAGTGGCCTACTCTGCAGTGTGTTGTGGTAATGTCGGAGCACTAGGCCTTTGCAAGTTCAGTTCACAGGTAGCTGCCAATGAGACCGCCCTTGCCCTTACGTACACACAGTTCTATATAGGAAACATTTCTCTGGGGTAGTTTTCTCCCGAAAGGCTTCTGACACCTTCTCTCCCATCATCTCACGCTTTTCTGCTAGATAATGCTATCTAGGCTTGTCAACTGGAGTTTAAAATTGGATTCAAAGTGTGATTCAAGAATTCATTCTGTTCCCAGTTTATTTAAATTGAGAGTGACATCTAATTGAATCTATAATGTAGAATTATGGTGGAGACCTGAGGATGAAGAAAAGATAGCTAGGCTGGAATGAGTCAAGATTTTTTTCAAGATTTTTTTTTTTTTATCGGAAATTCAAATCTGTAGAGAAGAGAAAGAAAGATGTTCCATCTCCTGATTCACTCCCCAAGTGGCCGCAACAGCTGGAGCTGACCTAGTCTGAAGCCAGGAGCCAAGAACAACTTCTGGGGCTTTCTTGTGAGTGCAGGGTCCCATGGTTTTGGACTATCCTCTGCTGCTTTCCCAGGTTACAGGCAGGGAGCTGCATGGGAAATGGAGCAGTCAGGATGTGAACCAGCACCCATATGGGATCTTGGCGGATAAAAGGCGAGGATTCTAGCCACTGAGCCTTCACACTGGGCTGATAGGTCAAATTCTGAAGGAGTGTGTGCCCAGAGAGATTCTAGGATAGCTGATTAGACTCAGATGTGTGCCTGCCTGACAACAAATTTACTGGAATGTCAGGAAGTAGGGTGTGGAGTAGTGGTGGTGGGAATTCTGAAGCCAGAAGGCCTGGGTTGAATCCTGCCCATCCCATGACCGAAGGCAGATCTGTGTGACCTCAGGCAGGGCCTTTGTCTGGACCTCAGCTCACTTTATGCTGTCCTCAGGTCGGTACAGTGTTGACCTGGTAGTGCTGGGTGGATATGGATAGAGTGCTTATACCCAACAGGCGATGGTAAATGACAGCAAGGTGAAGTAGTGTTACGGTCAGGAGTGGGGGCTCTGGAATGGACTTCCTGGTCAGTAGTGTTGACTTCCAGGTGTTATGGCTGGCCAGGTGAACGGCCTTCCTCCCTGTGTTTGAGTTTTCTTACCTGAAAGGATGGAGGCAGTGCGAAATTAATGTCACGCAGATGTGAACATTGGTGAGCCGGTGCGTCCAGGGTTCTGTGGCTAGGTCTTCACCAGCGCGAGGAGTCAGAGGGACGAGTCGCAGTGCTGCTGCTGTTTCTTTTACCTTTACCTTTGTTCGATGCTTGTGGATTTCCTCCATTTCTGTCCTCTAACAGATTAGCATCCTGTGGGTTTTGTTTTTTGTTGATGAGCCGCCTAGGGAGTACTCTGCTTTCTGGACCTTTTTCTCAACTTATTATCCACCCTGATCACTGGGAGAATCTTAACACTAGTTTCATTTGTAATATGGTTAGCTGTTGTTTGCAGTATGGTTAGAATTCTAGAAAAGTAACGGTAACTTCCTGTCCGTTCATGCATGTCCTCATCCATTTGATGAATATTTACTGTCTACTCTGCACCAAGTACTGCCCTTTGGTAGCAAACAGGACATATAAGGTTCGCCATTTTTTGGAACTTCTGTCATAAGGGAGTGGAAGCAGATAGGGAAGAAAGTGACAAATGGTTTGAAGACAGGAAAATGCATCGAGGTTGACAAGGTAGGAGGGAAGCTGCTTTGATTCCTGTGGGTCAGGGAAGGCGTTTCTGGAAAAAAGGCATCTGAACCCCATGCTTGCGAGAGCGGGGCAGCCAGCCATATAGAAGGCAATAGGAAGAGCAGTTCAGGAGCAGGGGCCAGAAGCAGCAATGGAGTAAGGTCAATTTCAATTAAATTTTATTTTTAAGGCTATAAAACCAAGTGTGGCTAGAGGGAGGGGGTGAGGCTGGCGAGGTGGGTAGTGGGAAGAGCCAGTGGCACAGAGGCCTGTGGGCACAAGTGCTGGAGTCCTGAGTTCATTCCCTCCATGGAGTGTCAAGGCTGAGAGCTGAGCTGAGGATGTGTTGGTAATAGACTGTAGGGCAGCAAAGAGTGGACATACTCTCCTTTAAAGGATCTGCAGACTTAATTCCATTCTGGCCTCATGTGAGAAATATTCTAACCCTTGCTTCTTCCTAGTTGGTCTGGTAGAACTTGAGGAGGATACACACTGACACTCAGACGGAAGAGGAGGGACCACCGTGTGAAGCCTGTGTGAATGCAGGAAAAGCTGCAGGGTTTGAAGTGTTTGTATTGTTGGTGTTATTTCCCCTTTAATGTCAAAATGCAGTCCTGTGCTACATAACATGTCAGCCAAGGACAGACCACATGCATGGTTCTGGAAGACTGTTTGGCTTGTGACACCAGAGCTGAATCAGTTTGTGTTACTTTGTGTTGTATTTTCCACAACAAAATCATCTATGCAGGCTGTTCTCAGAACCAATCCCTACCCTTGTGCGGCCCCTTCTTCTGGTATGTATAAAAAGAGGTGGCTTGGTCTTTTACTCCTTTTTTTTTTTTAAGATTTATTTATTTTTATTTGAAAGGTAGGTTTATAGAGAGAAGGAGAGACAGAGGGATCTTCTGTCCCATGGCCCCAGATGTGAGCCAATCTGAAGCCCTGATCCTGGAGCTTCTTCCAGGTCTCCCACGTAGCTGCAGGGTCCCAAGGCTTTGGGCTGTCCTCCGCTGCTTTCCCAGGCCGCAGGCAGGGAGCTGGATGGGAAGTAGAGCAGCTGGGATTAGAACCAGCGCCCATTTGGTATTTCAGCACCTCAGATGGAGAATTAGCCTGCACCAACCTTCTCTGTAACTTATTTCAGCAAAGATTTCCATTTCCTTTATTTACAGACATAGTTTTCCTTGTAAAAGTGAGAAACTGTAGAAATGCTATGTGTGCAGAAGAAAAAAGAACAATACAGAAGAAACTCCTTGATTTTAAAAAATGCTATTTTCTTCTTCCTGAGGGTCTGGTTTTTGTGTAGCTATCTCAGTGTAAGGTTGCGATGCATACACCTCTGCAATAGAATAACTCTCAGTTGCTAACACCGTGGGAAGCTGCTTAGCAGCCAGCAAGTGAAGTTCCTCCTGACATATTGCTGCTTCATCAGCCCATGCGCCTGTTGGCACGTTTCACATTAGATTTATGATGCAGACAGATTCTGCTGTGTTTTCGTAGTGTGTACTTCGCAGCAGCCCGAGTTAGCCTGGGACAGGGACCCTCCCCTCGGTGTTCGTGGAGGTCTCCACTGAGGCAGGCTGCTGGTACGTTGGCACGGCTCGGGTGATGGCAGAGGCCTGCCTGTGGTGAGCTCAGCTCTTCATCTCCGGGCCGTTCCGTGCTGTCTTCCCACTGGTGTCCTGGGTACACTTTTTGGATTGGGAATAAATTTGGAATATATTTGTCCTCATGACTATGCACCTTCTTCTTTTCTTTCTTGCTTGGCCTTCATTTAAGACTACATATTTCTGAGGACTGCAGTAATTTCTAACATTAATTGATACCACCATTTCATAAACATATGTCTTACAGCAAACAGTGTATGTTTCAAATTTATATTCCGAAGTCTGTTCTGTCATCAGAATGACAAAGGCCTACTTTAACCATTAATATCATGTTAAAGTATTGATTTAGGTTTAACTGACTCAAGAAGGGAATATATTGGTTCAAAGATAAACAAATGGCAAATTTTGTCCAGCCTTGGGGAGCAAAGGAAACTGACTTTTTACATTTTGAAATATTAAAGATTATTTTGAAGTCTGGACTATATGAACAGTTCTGCAGAAAATGGAGTGCAGGGACTGTATTAAATCAGAAGGAAGCTGAGAACCCATTTGATTTCTTTTTTTGTTCTTATTTCTTTTTAAATTATTATTATCATTTTATGATACAGTTCCATAGGCCCTGGGATTTCCCTTCCTCCCTCCCCAAGTCCCCTCCTGTCCACAGAGTTCCCCTATATTATTATAATAGTACAGTTCTTCATAAACAGTCATGTGTCCATCATTATGGCATGGACAATGGCAGTCCAGCATCTTATTGTCAAGATATAGTTAATGGTTTCATTGGGAGTCCATCTTTGATCTGGAAGTAGAGATGCATACTACATTGTATCCTCACATCTGGATATGATAGTCTCCATTACACAGTTACTATACATCCCCTTAAATGAAAAGCCACAATACAAAAACACCAACAGGAAGAAAAAAGAAATGAACAGCACCATGAAGTCACATATTATGCTATTGAATGACTAATGTGTCGCTGAAGAAATGAAAATCAAGAACCTTCTTAAAGAAAATGATGCTACTGTATGATCTATGAGTCATTGAATTTAATCAGAAGCAAGTGAAGAGATGAAACTAACAAAAATAAAAATAAAAATCCATGAGATAACACTTTCCGCTAATCTTTGTTGATGAGATATGTCTCCTGTAGACAACAAATAGATGGGTTTTGTTTTTTTAATCCAGTCTACTAATCTATCACATTTGATTGATGAGCTTAAGCCATTTTCATTCAGGATTAATATGAGTGAGTGGCAATTTAGTCCTGCTATTTTAGCAATGAGTTATTGACTGATTTAGTCTTCTGTTCTTTTACTGGGATGTTCTTCGTTTTGGTGGGTGCTATTCCTCTTCTCTGCCAAGAGAACATCTTAAAGTATCCTTTGTAGGGCAGGTTTGGAAGAGGCATATTCTTTTAACTTTTTTTTTAACTGTGGAAGAATTTTATTTCATTTTCAAAGACAAAGAAAAATCCATGTTGGGAGTTCTGTATCCCTTCTGGATGTTTTTTCCCAATTCTTTCTCTAGATTAGGGAAATCTTCCTTATTATTTCATTGAATATACCTTTAGTCCCAGCTTCTCTTTCTGCACCTTCTGGGACTCCCATAACTCTTATATTTGGCATTTTAATAGTGTCTTTCAGTTCTTGAAACTTCTTTTAGCTTGACCAGCTCTGTTTCCAGCTCTCTTTTTGTTTCCCTCTGGTGACAGGGAATATCTTCCAGTTCTAAGATTCTTTCTTCTCCCTCCTTTATTCTATTTTGGAGTCTCCACTGTACTTTAAATTTGCTCCACTGTATTCTTCATTTCTGATGTATCAGCTTTCATTGGATTCATTTTCGGTGTGACATATTTAAACTCCTATATTACATGCTTCTTGTTAAGAAGCTTTATAACAAGTGTTTTGAATTTTGTATCCCCCATTTTTCGATGTCTTCCTCTGTTAATTCTGACGTTGGCAAAGGTTTTTGCTCTTTGCAGGGGAATCTTCAGCAATATTGATTGTGCCTTTGTCTCCTCTTTTGCTTTTGGTCATTATACTTCTGGTTACCAGAGTCTTCTCCTTGGGGCAGGTTTCTAAGCTGTGTCATCCACAGATTTACAATTTGATTTTACTTATTGTAGTTGATACATGGCTCTTCGTTTGCAGTCAGTTGTGCTACTCCCTCCAGCGAGTTCCAGGTCGGGGTTCTTATGTTACATTTCCACCATGGTCTCCCTAGCCCCAGCTCCTGGCTCACCACTCTCCACCTCCTGTGATGCCATGCTGAGGCTGCACCAGTTTGAGCAGTTCTCAGAATTAGGGGGATGTCAGGAGTCCTACATAGCGAGGTTGTTGGTGGTGCTGATCTTGTCAGAACCTGTTGGCTGTTAGGTCACGGTGCCTCATGGACCTATTTTGATCCCTATTTGCTGAACTCAGTGTTATTTTCCTTGTGGGACCGGGGCAATGCACAGAGTTCAGTGAGTTCTCGCGAGCTCAGTGCATGCGCAGCTCACTGGTGTCCCTGCAGTCTTAAAAGTTTTTTCCACACTGTACAAAGTGGTTCCTGATGTGCCACTACTAGAGTTCTTGATCTGCTGGCCATCAGGTTTGAGGTCTACCCAGACCTACCTTGGATGGAACCTGTAGGATGCCATGCTGTTGCAGTTCACTGAGTCAGAAATGAGTTCTCTCCCAGCTCAGCGCGCATGCGCAGTATTGTCCATAGCCTTTGTCTCCATACACAAAACAGTGCCTGATTTGGCTCTAGGGGTTGGACTGGGCTGTGAAATCCACCCTGTTCTTGCACCACTGTGTTGGTGCTTTCCCGTGTCTGTCAGTCTCATGTCTGATGTTCTGTCTTCTGCTGTCTTTCTGTCCTCTGCTATTTCCTAAATATGCCCTCTCTGCTGTACACTGGCTAATGCTGCTGTTTAAAGGTGTCTTCACCCGATTCCACCATCTTGGTTCTCTCAGGTTTCTACGTTGGCATGTTAGGTGGTCTTTCAGCCTCTTCCCAAACAGGATCAGACTTATGTAAACACAGCGTGGATGATCAAAATCAGGAAGCCGACACAGTAGGTTATCAGCTGATTTCTGATCTTCTTGCTGGTTCTGTTGGCTACCACCCTGTCCTTAGGCTAGGAAAACAAAGCACGTTTGCATTCAGTTCTTTCTGGTTTTGTTTTTATTTTGTTTGTTTGTTTTTATTTTTTCATTCAGTTCTTAAGTGTCCTAAGTTAGGATAGCACCTTGGCCTTTGTCTTTTGTAACCTTACAGTTTTTAAATCTCATTGGTTTTTGTTTTGTTCTAAAGATCCCCCCTGGGTTGGGCTTCTTTGGTGCTCCTTCCGGATTCAGCTCAGCAGCAGGCTTCCCTAAGTGCTGCCCTGTGGATCTCTGCATTCCATAGCGTTGCTTTGTCACATTAGACAGTTTATTTTCTTCTGAGACTGCAGATAGTCACCAGGTTGGTGCTGTGATTGCCCAGGGCCCGCAGTCCTTCTCCCTGGTCAGCTGGGGTCTCCACTCAAGACCTTTGCTTTTCACTGACTGACAAGTTCACCCACGTTTTACATCAGTGTGGACGCACAGATAAGTACTTTATTCAGTGGGTTTCAGCTGGAATGTTGCTGGCCTTAGGACCCTCGCTACTTTGCAAATAGATGCGTCCTCCCGAGTAAAGCCAAAAAGCTGTTTCCCCGCGAGGCGTCGGGGTAGGGGCAGCTGCCACCTGCGCATGGGGAAGGCATGGGAGCGCTAATGCCCTGGGGTCTGCAGGCTGCGGGGCAGAAGGCAGCGCGTTTGCCAGAAGTTGCACGGGACTGAGTTCGTTCGTGGCCATCACTGCGCGGGCCAGCCCGCGGCTCGCCGCCAGCGCCCTCGCTCGCGCTCTCGGGCTGCCGGCTCGGTGGGCCCGGGCGTGGGGGGCCGTGGGCGGGAAGCTGGGCCCGTCTCCGCCGTGCGGTCCTCCGTCCAGCAGAGGGGCCTGCGAGGCGGCGGCGGCGCCCACAGCTGTTTGCCGTCGGCGCGCCGCGCCCGGCCGTGCGGCCGCCCTGGCGGCGCCCCGCCCCCTCCCAACAACCGGCGCGCTGATTGGCTGAGTGCTTGTCTCTTCTCTCCCCGCAGCCAATCGCGCCCGGCGAGGAGCTCCTGGTCTGGTACAATGGGGAAGACAACCCCGAGATAGCAGCTGCGATTGAGGAAGAGCGAGCCAGCGCCCGAAGCAAGCGGAGCTCGCCCAAGAGCCGCAAAGGTAGGACCCGCCGTCCGCGACTCGAGCCCGGCCGGCCCGCCGCCCGGCCCGCCGCTGTCTGGGAGCCGGGGCCCGACTCGGGGCCGGCCCCGGCGTCTCCGTGACCTTCTCCGGGCTCGGCCGGCCCGCCGCGGCCCCGCTGCTGAATCACCGCCGCGCGCCGGGCTGTGTCCTAACTGGAGCCCGAGCGCCCGGGTGGCCGAGTGCGCGGCCGCCGGGACGGCCCCTTGCCCGCGGAGCCCCGGCTCGGGCCCGCGGGTGACAGCTCGGCCGCAGCCGGGCCCGCGGCCGGAGGGGGACGGCTGAGCGGGCTGGACGCGCGGAGGGCCCGCACGAGGGAGAGGGCAGAGGGGAGAGAGGAGGTGGACAGAGTGGGTGGACGGGGCAGCCGGAGACGTGTGTGGGGGAGGACAGGGACGGACAGGTGGGGGAGGGAGGCCGGCGGGGGAGGCGCGGGGCTCGGGAGGGACGCGGGCACGGGAGGGACGCGGGCACGGGAGGGACGCGGGGCTCGGGAGGGACGCGGAGCACGGGAGGGACACGGGGCACGGGAGGGACGCGGGGCACGGGAGGGACGCGGGGCTCGGGAGAGACACGGGGCACGAAAGGGACGCGGGGCTCGGGAGGGACATGGGGACACGGGAGGGACGCGGGGCTTGGGCGGGACGCGGGGCACGGGAGGGACACGGGGCACGGGAGGGACGCGGGGCACGGGCGGGACGCGGGGCACGGGAGGGTCATGGGGACACAGGAGAGACGCGGGGCACGGGAGGGACGCGGGGCACGGGCGGGACGCGGAGCGCCGGGGGGACACGGGGCACGGGAGGGATACGGGGCTCGGGCGAGACGCGGGGCACGGGAGGGACACGGGGCTCGGGAGGGACATGGGGACACGGGAGGGACTCGGGGCACGGGAGGGACGCGGGGCTCGGAAACCCTGACACCTGGATTGGGGCTGGGGAGTGAGGAGGCAGGGACAGGAAGGGACGGGGCCGGGAGGGACTGACAGCGTGGGAGAGCCTAGGGGCACCTGGCCGCTGCGGCCTCTGCGCGGGCTGCGGGCTGCGAGGGGCTGGGGAAGTGGGCGCTGCTTTCGTGGACTAAGTTCTGGATCTTCTGACACGATGTGAAGTGCGGTCACACAAAGAAAGGGAGAGGATGGTTTTGGGTAGGAAAATAATTTGGGTGGCTTCATTATATTTCCATCTGGCATATGGACCGGTTGGGGTTATTTTTTATGAAGGACTTTAGTGTGAATTCAGGAATCTTTCTTAGAGCCCAATTTGAATATATGCCAAGACACTGTGCTTTTAAAAATTAATATACATGTTTGCTTTTTTAATGCCTGCCTCAGGTCTAAGTAAATCTTTGGAGTTCTCAGAAAAACAAGTTTATTTTTCTTTAGAACATTGCAAATTGAGTGGTGGAAGTCATACTGTAAATAAAAGAAAATCATTACATAAATTTATTTGGGAACTTTTTTTTTTAATTGGAAAGTCAGGCACACAGAGAGGAGAGACAGAGAGGAGGATCTTCTGTTTGATGATTCACTCCCCAAGTGGCTGCGACGTCTGGTGCTGTGCCGATCTGAAGCCAGAAGCCAGGAGCTCTTCAGGGTCTCCCACGCGGGTGTAGGGTCCCAAGGCTTTGGGCTGTCCTCGACTGCTTTCCCAGGCCACAAGCAGGGAGCTGGAAGGGAAGCAGGGCCACTGCGATTAGGCACCCATATGGGATCCTGGTGCATGCAGGGTGAGGACTTTAGCAGCTGGGCTACCATGCTAGGCCTGATTTGGGGACATTTTAAAACAGTGTTTAGAACTGTAGGCAAGAAATCTTGTTTTTTTTTGTCCAATTCCCTATCTGTGTTTCACGGTATAATGGAAGTGCGGCTCGCCCAGGCAGCTGGTAGGTATCTTACTGAATACAAGTTGCTCTGTTACTGAACTGACTTTTTTTTAGTCCTCGCTTTGGTCGCTAACTGCTTTCTGGGTCAGAGGATCAGAGTCTGAAAGATTTCCTGGTTATTATTTTTTTTAATTCCTTAACTGAATTTTGTGTATATGTGTGTATGTATAATTATAATATATATGACATATATGTATATATGTGTGTACATGCATTTATTTATTTGAGAGGGAGAGCGTCCATGCACTGGCTTACTTCACAAGTGACCCTGCCATCCAGGGCTGAGCCAGTCCAGAGCCAGCGGCTTCATCCCTGTCTCGCACATGGGGATCAGAGCTCCACACACTTGGACCATTCTCTGCTGCTTTCCCAGGCCATTAGCAGGGAGTTGGATTAGAAGTAGAGCAGCTGGGACAAGAACCGGTGGCATGCGGGCTCCTGGTGCCACGGCTGGTGGCGTTACCGTGGAGCCGCAGTGCCAGCCCCTTGTGGGTGACATCACATTGAGTGCTGACTTGTTTGCACTCTTCACTTCATCCCTGTGTGTCTGTATTTGGGGAGTCAGTCCTTCAGGTGTGTTGTGACACGTGGAGACTCTTCACCTTGCCACCACTGGGCACTCACCTCATCTACGAGGGGACTTGAACACCTCTGAGAAGATCACGGAAGCTCAGAGAGCCTTGGGAGTCCACGCATCGCTCTCTGCTCGTAGTCGTTTTGCAGGGGACCCCAGTCAGCAGCTTCACCCCGAGGCGCAGCTGTGCTCCGACAGGCCTTGGGCACCTGTGTGAAACGGACTGCATTCCCTTCTTTCCTGTCGATCCATGTTTTTCTGTTCATGTAGTTGAGTGTGGCGAAAACATGGGTGAGCGTTCTGTTGCGTGCTAGGAGCATGTATAATTTCACAGCTGCCTGCGTCGCCGGGTTGAGCTGAGCACCTGGCGTAGCACAGAGCCCTGCTGGGCCGAGGCTTTAATCAAATACTTGGGTGAAGCACCTCTTGGAACTGAAATTTTTTTTAAGATTTTATTTTTATTAGCAAGTCAGGCATGCAGAGAGGAGGAGAGACAGGAAGATCTTCGGTTTATTGATTCACTCCCCAAGTGACCACAACAGCCGGAGCTGTGCTGATCTGATGCCAGGAGTCCAGAACCTGTTCCAGGGCTCCGAAGTGGATGCAGGGTCCCAAGGCTTTGGGTTGTGCTGCTTTCCCAGGCCACAAGCAGGGAGCTGGATGGGAAGTGGGGCCTCTGGGATTAGAACTGGCGCCCATATGGGATCCCAGTGCATGCAAGGTGAGGACTTTAGCTGCTAGGCTACTGCACCGGGCCCTGGAACTGAATTTTGAAAGTCTTAGTGGTGAGGAGGCCTTCAGTCCGTGATCTAGTTTGCAGGGTTTAAATAATGAGCTACAACTTTATTTTTAAATCAGTTATACTTTGAACACTGATCTATAAGCTTGTAAATACCCGGAATGTTCAGCTTTGTGTGTTAATTATGCTCTATTTAGATCTTAAGTATGACGTCAGACGTTTAAGTAATATCTTTTCAAGCAGTGACGTCAGAGAGAATCACCGTAAACTTCATTCAGCGTTGCTGGTAACTTGGTGTGTCTGAGAGCCAGATGTTGAAGACACAGAGCTTACTGACTCGCAGCCACCTCGTTTCGGTTATGGGACAAAGGGCCGAGCTCTTCCTGGTTTTTGGCCTCAGCCCCCTTGTGGCACAGCTGCAGGGCGTCAGCTGGGCGGTGCCATCAGAAGCAGCCAGAGCCCGGGGAGACCCTGCAGCCTGCTCAGGCACTGGAAGCCGTGGTTCTCCAGCACAGTCCGTAGCTCTACCTCTCTCCGTCTTTCTCTGTGTCATAACTCAAGGGTTCAAGGTGCTGTGGTAGAGGTGAGCGGAGCGGACCGTGCCTCCTCAGGCTTGGTTAGAGACCTACACTGGTGGGGGGCACTCCTCGGGGCCCTCTGGGCACTGGATGACAGCGTGTGAGTGGAAGGAAGGGGATGTGGGAATGTGGGAACGCAGTGCTTGCCTGGTCACAGCGCGCAGTACGGCTTCGCTATGGGCCGAGCGTGTAACACACAGGTGGTGTGCGTTTGGAATCGGTTGGGATCTCAGCTTGGAACTCGGCCGGGGTTTCTGCATGTCTGAGCAGCCACCGTAAGGGTGCAGTTTGGATGGGGCAGGTTGAGGTGAAGGGACGGATCGGTGTCCAGCATTTCGGGTATGTTTTGGGCCTTAGGAAGATTATGACTGCGGTGACGCAGCAAAGGCTCTGCTCAGAAGTGTACATCTTCCTCTGGCTGGCCGACTGCTCACTGCCGCGAGGACCAGGGGGTTGAGTTTGCTCACTGGAGTCAGCCATGCCTGTTGGCGTGTGCTGTGCTAACATGCAGAGTGGCCCTTCCCTCTCCTGGTCATGGGAGAGCCTGTCCTGATGGCCGTTCCACCTGAGGAAGCCACAGTGGCTGTATACACAGAGGCTCTGGGCAGTGGGCGATGGGATGCTCGGTGTTTATCAGCTGTGTGACTTTGGGCAAGCTATGGCACCTTCCTGAAGCAGGCACAGTCCCCCTGGCTTTGAAAGTGGGTGTTCTGGCACCTCTCAGGGTGACTGTGGGACAAGGGGGTGTGCTTTCTGTCACTCAGTAGCTAGAAGTAACCCTGGTCTGGCCTAGGAACTGCTCACTTGGTGACTTAGTATTAGGGGCTGCTTGGTGTGAGTGCAGAATAAGCACCAAAGGGTTGGGCTTGGTGGGTGATGTGCCTGGAACCTGGGTGTGACCTGAGCTTTCTGTCCTCGCAGCCCCTGGGGGCCAGCCCGGAGGGCTCCAGGGCTCGGATTCTTGCCATCCAGCCACTAGCTTGGTTGAGTTTCCGGCTTCCAGCTTTGGGTCGGAGCTCTTTCTATTTCTGTTTCAGATGAATAATTTGAAAATTCAAAAACCCCTGGATCCCTTCTCCCCCTCTTCTTCCTATGTAGACGCCTCACTCTGATCTCTCTCACCCTAAGGCCAGTTCTGGCCCACTGACCTCGCTGCTCCCAGCAAATCAGAAGGCAGGCGCGATCGCTTGTACCTGATAGCTAG